CACAGGCATACCGTACACTGTCATGCCTGTGATGGCAGCTCAAGCTGCTCCTCTCAACGCAGGCTCTTTCCTCCCCTTCTTGCCTACCGGTAGTGACTCAATGGCCCCTCAAGACTCAGCACCAAGGCTGCCTCTTCTGTGAAATGTCCCCCACCCTCCAGCTCCCACTGTCTTCCTCAGAGGCTGCCAGTTGCAGGGAGAAGTCTGACACATGTGGATTTGAATCCCAGCTCGGCCACATGCTGGTTGTGCAGCCTCAGATGTGTCACTAGTTTTCCCTGGGCTCTGTGTCCTGTCGTCTGTAAATGTGAGTAATAATGTCCACCCTGCAGGGACATCGGAAGATCAAACACCTGCCACAGAGCCCGACAGGTGCTGGGTGAATAAACACTTCTTTCCTTCCTTCGTCCTTCTTCTAGCGTGTTTTCACTTTTTTTTCTTTTTGAGACAGAGTCTTACACTGTTGCCCAGGCTGGAGTGCAACAGCATGATCTCGGTTCACAGCAACCTCCACCTCCCGGATTCAAGAAATTGTCCTGCCTCAGCCTCCCGAGTAGCTGTGATTACAGGCATGCGTCACCATGCCCCGCTAATTTTTGTATTTTTAGTAGAGGAGGGGCTTTGCCATGTTGGCCAGGCTGGTCTTAAACGCTTGACCTCTTCTGACCCACCCTCCTCGGCCTCCCACAGTGCTGGGATTACAAGCATGAGCCACGGCGCCCACCCTTTTAATTTTTTTAAAAAACCTGGTAGCTGGGCACGGTGGCTCACACCTGTAATTCCAGCTTTTAGGGAGGCAGAGGCGGGAGGATAGCTTGAGCCCAGGAGTTCAAGACCTGCCTGGGCAATATAGTGAGATCCCATTCTCTACAAAAAATAAAAAATTAGCTGGGCAGGGTGGCGTGTGCCTCTAGTCCCACCTACTCGGGTGGCTGCGGTAGGAGCCCANAAAAAAAAAAAAAAAAAAAAGCATAAAAAACTTGGCAAAATACACATAACATACAATTTACCATCTTCACCATTTTAAGTATACAGATCAGGGGCACTGAAGACATTGGCAGTGCTGTGCAGCCGCCACCGCCGTCCACCCACAGAACACTCCTCATCCTGTGAAACTGAAACCAATGCCCTCATTGGCACCAAGCCCCGCTCCCCCAGACCCCGGCACATCCCATTCTACTCTCTCTCCTCTGGTATTTGGCCTGGCCTCTGTGATGGCACCAGCCCCTTCTAGCTGGTGTTGCCAGCTGCTTACAAGTCTTAACCCCCCAACAGGTCAAGTGTCATCTCATTCATCTGCACCCCTGTTACTGAGGCACATGGTAATAAAAGGTTTGAGGCGACAATGCAAAACGAACGAGAGAATGAGCAGAGAGAGGGTCACATGTGGGTTCATGGTCAAAGGCAAATAGCTTTGTGTCTGATCTTATGTAGCAAGTGCTCAGAATATATTGAAAGTTTATATGATGATATGGGTGGTTTTTGTAAATGTTTACTTATTTTTTGAATAGGTAAAATATTTGAAATTTAAAAAGGTACAGAAGAATATGAGGTGGAAAGTCAGTCTCCCCCCAACCCCATCCTCCAGCCTCACTGGAGTCAGCACTCTGGCCAGTTTCTTCCGCATCCTTCTAGAGGGGTGTACCCACACCACATGTGCCCACGCTCACACGTGTGCATGCACAAGTTCACACCGCATGGGCTCACACACTTACATATGAACGCAGCCTTTACACACTCTTGGTACATCCTGCTTTTTCTCACTTGGCAAATCTTTGAGATCTTTCTAAGATCAGTATGTGGACAGTTTCCTCATTGCCTGATAGCATTCGCTGAATGATAACTTCACCCTCTCACCTGTTTATACCTGTTGCAGGATTTGTGTCATCTGCCACCTATTGATGACTATTCAGGCTGTTTCCAAATTCTTGCTATACAAGGGGTGCTGCAGTGAGCAGCCAGTCTCGGATGCTCATGAATGACTGAATGACTGAATGCCTGAATGTGACCCCTAACTCCAGCCCAGTCTACCCTCTGCCTGGTCTCCCTGGCCTCTACCCCAGTGCACCCCACCCTCCCAGGACTCCCACTTTCCCCTGTGTGCCCATGGCTTGGAATCTTCCTCCTACTCTGTGCCAGGCGCTCTGCTGGGCCCTAGAGTGTTCAGGCTGATGATCCCCCGTCCTGTCCTCATGGAGCCACAGCTCAGAGGGAGAGACAAATGACGGAACAGTTATTTAGGAATCAGGTGTTGAGCGCCGGCATAGAGACCAGCCACAGCAACTTATGTCCCTCTCCCAACACCTGGGGAATCACAGAGACTTCTTGATAACCTTAGCCCCAAGCCAGGCTTCAGGCCAGAGGAGGAGAAAGGAAGGCTGGGGAGTGTGGAGCCAGGGTCAGAGGGGGCTGAATGCCGATCTGGCTGCTCTGCCCTGCACCCCCGGGCCATCCTGTCTGTCTGATGCTGCTGTACCCATCTACTCCCCACTGTGTCCTGGCTGCCTGCTCTCCCTCTGGGCCCACTCTGCCAATCCCCATGTCAGGACCCTGGCACCTCACCACCCTCCTCACTTTCGAAACTAACTACCTGTTTCATTGGAAGAGCTTTTCCACCCTTATTCTGTGACGTTAAGAGTTGGTGATGGTGGGAGGGGAAGGCAGCATTACGGCCATTCAGATGGTGAGGAGAGGACAGACATGGCCTCTACATAGGTTATGCACAGCCCAAGGGAGTGAAGCCAGCACTGACCTCCAGGTGCCAGGGTCTGGGTCCCTGGAAGCCTTTCGAGCCTCATCAGAACCCGTCATTCAGAAGCTTTCAGCCTCTCCCAGTTCACTGGACAATGCTCTCCCCAACTCAAAATACCCACCCCACCTCTCCCTTCCCTGCCACGCCTGCTGTCCAAGCACTGCTTCCAGGTTTATTTCCTGGGGTTGTAAGGCACTGCACCTCCCAAAACCCCTCGTTCAAAGGGAAATGTCCCCGGAAGGACAGCAGGGACTCCTTAGCATGGACTCAGGACACCAAGAAAACGGGTACACAAATCAGTTTTGATGCAGGGCATTAAGTAAGCAAATTTGGTTAAAATGTCCATAGTGGATCCTCTGAGTAGCCAGAGGTGTGAGTGCCTGCAGGAAGGCTCCTGATGGTGGAAACACAGGCGCTGGGGGAAGGAGCAGGGGGAGGCTGAGCCCGTCTTCCCAGGGCCGAGCCAAGGGCAGGTTCCTTCCTGTTTGATGTCAGGGGGCTTTTAAAGGGGGGTAAAAACACGAATCACAACAGCCAGATGATGGAAGCATCCCAAGTGTCCCACAGCAAATGAATGGATAAATAACAGTGTGGTGGCTCCCGCCTGTCGTCCCAGCACCTTGGGAGGCCGAGCTGGGTGGGTTGCCTGAGTTCAAGAGTTGGAGACCAGCCTGGGCAACATGGCGAAACCCCATCACTACAAAAAATACAAAACCAGCCCGGTGTGGTGGTGTGCACCTGCAGTCCCAGCTGCGTAGGAGGCTGAGGTGAGAGGATCCCTTTAGCACGGGAGTCCGAAGCTGCAGTGAGCCTAGGTCGTGCCATTGCACTCCAGCATGGGCAACAGAATAAGATCCCATCTCTAAAACAACAACAGGGGTGTATACTCACAATGGAATACAATTTGGCCTTAAAAAGGAAGAAAATCACGACTCGTGTTACATTGCGGATGAACCTTGAAGACATTGTGTGAAGTGAAATAAGCCAGCCACAAAAGCACTCTATGAGGTACATGGAGTAGTCAAATTTATGGACAGAAAGTATAATGTGGTTGCCTGGGGATGGGAGGTGGGAAGGGGGAGTTGTTTGATGGATACAGCGTTCCAGTTCTGGAGATTGGTGGTACAACAGTGTGAATATATTTTAAAATACCCAACTGTACACTTCAAAATGGCTAAGATGGTAAATTTTACGTCACGTGTATTTTATCACAATTAAAAATTTTAAACAGGCCAGGCACAGTGGCTCATGCCTGTAATCTCAGCACTTTGGGAGGCCGAGGCAGGCAGATCATGAGGTCAGGAGTTCAAGACCAGCCTGACCAACATGGTGAAACTCCATCTCTACTAAAAATACAAAAATTAGCCAGGCATGGTGGGGTGCGCCTGTAATCCCAGCTACTCAGGAAGCTGAGGCAGGAGAATCACTTGAACCCGGGATGCAGAGGTTGCAGTGAGCTGAGATAGTACCATTGCACTCCAGCCTGGGTGACAGAGCAAGACTCGGTCTCAAAGAAAAAAAAAAATTTTAAAACAATAAAACATAAATATTTTCAGATGGAGGGAGGGCGATATTAACGAAGGGGTGGAAGAGCTCCATCCTGTGCGTTCGGCCCACTCATCACAGAGACAAACCCAGGCAGTGCAGAGCCAGACCCCAAAATATCCCTAGTGTTGCGGGTGTGGCCTGGGCTGGGGAATGACTGGATATCTGGGGGCGCAGAGGCAGGAACCTGTGGGGGAAGGACCTGACCTTGACGTCAGCCTCAGACAGTGGGTCTCTGCTGCCTGCCTGCCTCCTACTGGGGCCAGCCAGACCCACGTGCCCTGAAATGCTTGGCAGGCCCCCTGCCCGCTGGCTGCTTAGGGAGGCGTTCCCACTTCCCCCACCCTTGCCTGAGCTCTCTAGGGCTCCTTCATTCTACAGATAGGCTGGGGTCCCCCTCTGTGCTGGGCACTGTGGTAGCTTAGTGGTGTGAGGCAGGACCCTGCAAGAGCCCATGGGATGGACAGAGCTGGGCTTGACTGGCTGGAAGTTGGGAAGAGGCTTCTCCAAAGTGTTGAGGGCATAAAAGGAAAAGATTGGCCTTAATGAGAACATGGCCCTGAGGCTTGATGGGCCCAGAGCCTCCCAGGGTGTGGGAGAGTGTGTACATGGGTGTGCGGGACCTCGCCTGGGTAATGTCTGCAGCTGCATAGGATGATCTGACCGAATCTGTGTGTGAGCACATCTGTGTGTGTGCCTGTGTGTGCGCACCCACATGCATGTGTGTGTGTGGTCCTAGTGTAGGTGATGTCTGCGGCCACACAGGATGCTGACTGCGTGTGTGACTCGTGGGCATGCAGATGCATGCAGACCTACGACACGTCTGGGTACAGGCTGAAGATCACAAAGGGTCTGGCCAGGGTCCGCCGCGGGGCTCCGAGCTGGCGAGCACACCGACGGCTGGATGGGGCGACGCTTCCTGCTCCGGTCCCTAACTCATTATTAAGCTCCTCGCTCTTTGCAGACGCTCCCTGCGCCTCCCCCGCTCCGGGCTGCAGCGGCGCAGGCGCCGGGCCGAGCCGAGCGCCGAGCGGGGAGCGGGCGGCCGCGCTCCGGGCCGGGGTCCCGGGGGAGCAGGTGAGCGACCCGCGCCGCGCGGCCCCCACGGCCCTTGGCTAAGGCGCCTCCCGGCCGCGCTGCGCCAGCGCCCCCGCCTTCCCTGCCTGGCAGTATCCGCTCGCCTCTGTTGGCATCCTCCTCCTTCCCCTGCCTGGCATCCCCCTCCTCCTCCTGCCTGGCATCCCTTCTCCTCCCTGCCTGGCATCCCCCTCCTCCTCCTGCCTGGCATCCCTTCTCCTCCCTGCCTGGCATCCCTCTTCTCCCCCTGCCAGGCATCCCCCCTCCTTCTCCTGCCTGGCACCTTCCCCTCACCTGGCACTTCCCCTCCTCCCTACCTGGCATCCCCTTCTCCCTTCCTGGCATCTTCCTCCCCTCCTCCTTTCCAGGTATCTCCCCCACTCCTGACTCTTTCCGTCCTCCCGCCTGGCACCTCCCTCCACCCCCACCCCAACCTGGTACCTCTTCCTCCTACCCCTTCCTTGCACCTCGTCCCTGACTGGCAGACTCCCATTCAGCCCCTCTGTGACACCACCTCCTCCCCAGCTCTGCCTGGCATCTTCCCCTCCTTCCCTCTCCGGTACCTTCCTATCCTCCCTCCACCTGCATCCCCTCCTTCCCTCGTCTGGCACCCTCCTGCCTGGCACCTTCCCCTCCTCCCCCTGTCTGGCACCACCTCCTCCCATTGCCTGTCACCTCCCCCCTGCTGAGCACTTTCCCAACCTGCTCCTGCCTGGCATGCTCTGCTTCCTACTCCCCCTGTCTGGCACCTTCCCTCCCTCCCCTGCCTGGCATCCTCTCCCTCCTTCCCCTACCTAGCACCTTCCCATCATTCCCCTGCCTGGCACCTTCCCTGTCTCCACTTGCCACAGTCTTCCCTGGATACCCCTCTCTGATTCATGTTGTCCCTCTGTCCCCTACCTTCTTGCAGGACACCTCCCCCCAACCCTGGACTGGTAACCCCTCCTCTACCGCATCTCCCTCTTATCCTCTCCTCTGCTCTGTCTCCCAGACCCCACCAGCTCCCCTACCCCCAGCACTCCCTGTCTCCAGCCTTCTCCCTCATCCCCTTTGCTCCCGACCCTGCTCAGTGTTGACCCATGGGCAGCAGCCTCTTTTGCCCACATGGCTTCACCGGACCCTGAGCCACTCTCAAGCCCTACCCTGTCACCCACCTCCCACACCTACAGCACTGCCTTCTTCTTAGCTCCCATGGCCCACTGTCTGTCCAGGGACTTCAGTTCAGAAGTTGGGTCCTGACCCCAGCTGGAGGCCTTCCTGTTCTTCCAGAAGGGAACGAATCTGGGAGGACAGGACAAGGCAGCACTAGCAGGGACTAGCAGGGGGGTGTGTAGGCCAGCCGGTGGTCACAGAGCAGCCTGACTGCCTGCTACCACCCCTGGAGCCTCTCCTGCTCCCGGGATCCGGGGCCATCCCAGTTACCGTCTCGACCTGCCCTCTGGCCTTGCCTCCCAATGCCCAGCTGTCTCCCTCCACCCATTGCCACACCCCCAAAACTGGCCACTCCAGTCAGGGCTTGGGGTCTGCCTGGAGTCCCTGCTCTGTCTTTCAAGTTCTTTGTCCTGCAGGACCCTGGAGCCGGTCTCCATCTGCTTCCCGCACACACTGCTCCCATCCACACCCTGCCTCATGCCACCCCAGCCCCAGCTCGCCGGTGCTGGCTGTCTCCACCCTGGCCCCTTTCTGCACAGTGCCAGCTCTTCCGCAGACCTCTGCGCTGGGGAGTTTGGCTTCTTCCCGGCCTCCCGAGGCCTCCTTGAATCTGCCTTGGGGCTCAGGGTCTGGCCTCTCCTTTCAGATCCTCAGAAATGGCCCTTGGTGCTGCAGGCGTGGTGGGCTCCGGGCCCAGGCACCAAGGGGGCACTGGATGACTCTCCAGGTGCAGTACCCTGCCATCTATGACTCCAGGTCTTCAGCACCCACCCACTTCAGTACAGGTAGGTGCTTCCTCCCCCACCAGCACAGGAGCAGGAGCTCTGGGGCCCCACGGAGTCAGCCAGCCCTCGGCCCCTGCCCTGTGCCCCCTCCTAGCATTTCTGCCCCCAGCTGGACTCCTCAGTGCCCATGGCAGTGCCTCTCTGTCCTTCTGCCCACCCTGGCTGGCACCTGTCATTCACGTCCTTTCCTCCATCCCACTGCGTGTCCTCTCACCTCCTGGTGTCCCAAAGCCATTCTGAGCCAGGGAAAGCCAGCCTGAGACCAAGTGTGGGGTTCATGTGAGCGTGGTCTGGGCTCTGGCGTGCTCTACTTCCTCCCAGCCAGACACCCAAACAACACCCCATCTCCTCTCACTGTGCACATGCAGAAGCATGCACATACGTGCACACGCTCACACGCACACACACCACATGCTCTCCGCGAGCTGGAAGGAACCTGCTGATTCCTTGGCACAACTTGGGCTCAGAAACCTATCCCTAGACATGCTGTGCAAACTTCTAAAAGCCCTGCAGGGCCCCAGGCAGGGTTCTGCTTGTGGCAGGAGGGAGGTGGCAGCCGTCTATGACACAGCCTGCGGTGGGAGCCAGCCCTGCCCTGCCCTAGGCAGACCGCTAGCTCTCATGCACTCTGGGGCCGTTGCTTGCTTGTAGGACTCTCCTAAGCCTCCTCCCCAAAGAGTGAGAGGGAGATGGCCTGCTGGTCCCATATCAGTCCCCACTTGTCCGGAAGGACACACTGAGGCTCTGAGCAGAAAAGCCACCTGCCCCAGAGCCCCACCAGGCATGGAAACAGGTCGGAGCTGAAGTCTGATCTGGGCTCTGTCTGCCCAGCCCCACCCGTTGTCACCCTGGCTGGCCACTCCGGTGGGCATCACCTGGCAATAGGGTGGGTGCTGTCAGGTCCTCAAGGCATGTGGAGCCCAGTCCCTGTCCTCAGGGCCTGCTGCCTTGGAGAGCAGCCTTGGCAATCTGGTAGAAAGGGCTGCAGAACACACAGGCCTCGGGACACTGAGGAGGGAGACATCAGGAAAGTTCTGGAAAGGTGCAACTGGAACTGGCTCTGAGGTCACTGGGGTTTGGGGAGGCCTGGGGCTGTGGGCAGAATGAGAGTGAGTTCTCTGCTTCTCCTTCCTCAGAAGAGGGCGGAGGAACTCGTCCTCCTGCCGGGCTGCACTGAAGGCTAGGGACAGTGCTGTTCCCCTCCAAAGTCCTCCAGTGCCGCTGCTCTTCCAGCGAGGTCTGGGCCCAGAGAAAAATGGGGCAGGACTCTGGCTGCTGGGGAAGCTGGGCTGGCCCAGAGGATCCAAGCCACTCAGGGCAGCAGCAGGTGCCAGTCACCTGGTACCATCACCAAGGAAACATGCCTGGTGCCGGCATGCCCAGCCCCATGCCTGAAGCCCCTAACCACCTGCAGGAAAGTCAAAGCCTGCAAGCCCCTCCCTAGCACCTGAGGTGAACTGGGGACTGGCTTCTCAGTTTGTGGTGGCTGGTTTTTTAGCTGAAATTCATAAAGAAAGTGTGTGAACTAGTATATGAAACCAAGCGCTCTACAGTTCTGGGGTATCTGAGTGCAGAGGCCAGGTTGAATTGGGGGCAGGCTGATGGGAGCCAGCTAAGCTCCCTGGGGGGTACACCTGAGGTGGCACCCCACGTGGAGAGTCCTCCTAATACTTGACATGCACTGAGCTAGGCCCTAAGGGGCTCCCCAGCAGCAGTTGGTGGGAGCCCTGGGCTGTTCCAGACCTTTCCTGAAGGGTTGCTGCAGGATGGGCACAGGGGAGGAGGGCAGGGGAGGCCTGTGAAGATTGGACTTGGTCCATCCTAGTGACACCTGGTCCCAGAATGGCCCTGGCCATGAGTCAGAAGCCCCAGCTCCAAGAGTGACAAGGTGGGGAGGCTTGGCATTTTATTTTGGAGTCACATTAATGTGCAGCCGGCGGTGTGCATTGCAGGCTCTTGGCAGCCAGGCACTGGGGCATTTGGATGGTGACGGGCCCTGGTGTGGTGTCTAGGCGTCCGTCCTCACCCCACACTGGCGGTGTGATTGCAAGTGAGTGCGCATCATTAGTGAGAATTAAGTGGTGGAGGTAATGAGCTAGAGGTGTCACCAGGAGGCTAAGCTGCCCATCGGAGGTGAGTGGGCTTCCCTCAGCTGTGGTTGGACTCCCAGCCATTTGGAATTGCTGTACCAGAGGGGCCAAGCTGAGGCCACCACCTGCTTCTGACGGGTACTCGGCTGAGGGACATCTTGTAGGGAGTATAGCTGTGTTCCCCCTCCCCACCGTGCTCCTTGCTAATGAGAGTATGGAAATCCTTGGTGACTCATAAGGGATCGTAGAGGAGGGCTGATCACTTCAGCCAGGCCCACCTTTTGGGATAGCACATTCTGTTTATTGACTTTCCAAGCTGCGACACCGATTCTTGGCACCCTACACTTACTTCTAGGGATTTGAGAACGTGCCTCGTGAGTGTGTGCCCCACACAGGCCTCCTACTGGAATTTACAAACTTGGACCATCTCCCACGTGAACCTTTTTCCCAGACCGAAGAGCATTTTGGGAAAATGCCCTGAATGAGGAACACTGTGCCGGGAGGGAGGGAGAGGAAGACGCAGGGAGGTGTTCTTACTTTCTGCCTCGGTTTCAGGTAGTTTGCAAAGATACATGTAGTGAGGAAACTGAGACAGAGGGAAGAGATAGAGGAGGGAGAGCATGACGTCACCAAGGATGCAGTTACTGCACCAAATGCAAACCGTGAGGCCTGGAGACCCCGATCCCCTCAGAGAAGCAAGCAGTTACATGATTTCTACTGTGCATGAAATACAAATCAAACGACGTGCTCAAATCACTGTGATTTCTGGTCCCAAGCCCCAGGGACGTGTCTCCTGTATGAGGAAATTAAGGGGATACCAAGTGACAGAGTTACACAGTGTCCTCAACAATGTCACAGTGGCTTCCTAGGTCTAAGGCAAAGACCAACACAGTACTGCTCGGCCGTAAATGTATTGGTAATATTGCTTAATCCAAACATAACATTCAGAGCAACTAGAGGAATGCACTACCACCTTCATGAACTACTCCTGTCTTTCTCTTTTGTAAGAGACAGGGGCTCACACTGTTGCTCAGGCTGGAGTGCAGTAGTGTGATCATGGCTCACTGTAGCCTGTAACTTCTGGGCTCAGGCGGTCCTCATGCTGAGACTACAAGCTCAAGCCACAATGCCCCCTAGCTTTTGTTTGTTTTGTTTGTATTTTAGTAGCGATGAGGTCTCACTACATTTCCTAGGTTGATCTGGAACTCCTGGGCTCAAGCAATCCTCCCACTTCAGCCTCCCAAAGCGCTGGGATTACAGGCACGAGCCATGGAGCCCACCCAGGAAATACTCTCTATGTTGATATTTACAACAATGTTTCTGATAAATATCAGGCAGCAGGAAGGTATATTTAAAGTTGGAAATTAAGTACAGAGTCACATTCTCCAGGTAGGGGTAATATCCTGATAAACAGCTCCTTCAGCACATAAGCCCCGCAGGTGAGTTTGGGTATGAGGAGGGACCAGTCCCGGTCTTTCCCCAGTGACAGGTCCTGAACCAGTGGAAAAACAGGCACAGGCATCAGTTAACTTAAGGGCAGGGAAAGCTGAACTGAAGAGAGACTTGAACCTGAGACCCAAGTGTAGGAGACAGGTCCTACTCCCTAACCTGGGTTTGCTTACCTGGGCATGGGCACAGAAGGAGATGACCTGTGTCCTGCAACAGACTGGCCCAGAAGGGGAGCACTGGCCACAGGAAAGCAGCCTTGCCTTCAGCACCTCACCCCAGCCACCTGGGAGAGGGACTGTCCAGCTGGCACAGCCCTTAACACCTCATCGGACACAGCCTCCTCCCACAGGGAGGAAGGGTGGGGTGAGCGCTTGGGTCATTCCAGCATCTCCTCTCCTGGGGAGTATGGTAGATGTTTCCTTGTGAACATGTACAGACGAGGGAGTAGGGCCCGTTGGACGGGCAGTGGGGTGGACGGGCCACATTGCTGGACAGTGACATCAAGGCTCAAGTCCACCCCTTTCTTATCTCTCCGTTCAAACAACTGCCGCATCCTTTTATTTGATTTTATTTCCTAGATAAGCATCAAGTCCATCCACTTCTGACTCCCATATCACCGCCCTAGTCCATGCGCAGTTGTCTTCTGCCCCTATATGGGTGCCACATACTCAGCCTTGCCCCTGCCTGCTTCAGACCCCAACCCAGCACAGGAGCCAGAATGAGCTTCCTAAACACAAATCCGATTTGTTCAGCCTTCCACTTCCTTGTGGCTTCATTCTTATGCCCTCACTCAGGGTCCTCACACACTCTGTTCCCTTCACCTCCGACACCCTTCCCAGCTCCACTCACCTGGCTAATTGCCCTCATCCTTGAAGTCCCCACTTATGTTCCACGTCTTCCAGCGGGTCTTTCTCCCAGCCACCCACTCTCTTATGTCTTGCCGCACCTACCAGAGAGTCTAAGACTGAGTTGTAGGGCTCCTTAAAGGCATGGGCTGTGTCTGTCTTGCTCCACACAGTGCAGAGAAATATTTCTTGAATGAATGAGCAAATGTGTGAGGCAGTGGGCCGAGAGGGGGTAGCTTCCCAGCTCCGTGGCTGATTCTAAAATGAGGCCCCAATCCCTCTTGGTGCTGTCAGCCTCACCCTCTCTACACCACCACGATGCAAGGGTGAGTCTTCCCTGCCTGCCAGCCTTGTCCTGCTGTCACCTGAGCTGCCCCATGCCCTGTGCCCAGCAGCTCCTGTAGCTCTGTGGTGGGAGGAGTGCTCCATGTTCATTCCCTCTTCACTTATTCCTCTGGTGAGGGAGAGTGTCGCTCCCTCTGACCACGGTTTTGCCTTTTGGAGTTGCAGGGAGAAACCCCTTTCTCTCTCGAAGCCATCTGATACCGCGCTTCAACATTTGGAGGCGGTTTTCGCACACGCCCTGCGTCTCCTCCTGGAAACTCCAGCTCTAGCC